TTGTTTTTTAGATTTAGTCAACTTTTTTACAATGATATCGTTACGGTTATTGATAGTTTGTGACCCATCCATATTTTGCTTTGAACGTTGATGAACTTTCATCTGGATGTATTTGAGCAATAATTAATTTAGCCTTCGTCTTTAATACTGGTCCAATAAGTGTACACTGCATTCCAGGCTTATATGAAAACAGAAAACATTTAAACAGATATTTTTCCGTAGAACTTTTAGTGCATACAATGTATTGAAATTTTTGGGTTCTAATTTCTGGAGAATTCGAATTTGAAAGAGTTCTAATTTGTAAGCCTCTACTGTATTAAGATATCAATTATAAGTAATTAATTATGAGTTATCAATAAAAAATCAATTATAAGTAATCAATTTTAAGAAATCAATTATAAGTAATCAATTATAAGTAATCAATTATATGTAATCAATTATAAGTAATCAACTATAAGTATTCAAATATAAGTAATCAACAGTAAGTGATAATTATAAGTAATCAATTATAAATAATCAATTATAAGTAATCAATTATAAGTAATCGATTATAAGTAATAAATTAGAAACAATCAAATATAAATAATAACTTTTATTTATAGTTGATCAATTGTCAGTGACCAATTGTTAAGAGGGGAGCAGATGTGTTAAGGTAGATGGGTGTTCAGTACTCTTTATTAGCTGCAAAAGTTATTTTAGTTGCGCTTTTAAGCACCTCTAATCTTCTACACATCATATGTATTACATGATCAATTATGAAATATTATTTAAAAATTTTGTCGTGCCAAATTTTATTTGTTTTGTGAAACTATCTATATTTCCATCCATTAATATTCCATATAAAATAGTGAAACGAGTGTCCTAGGAGTACTATAAATTCATTGTTTACTTAAATTTATTTCTAACTTATTTTATATTTTTTAATATTGAATCAAAACAAAAAATTTATTAAACTAATCTTTATGTCAGTGCTACTTCTTATCTTCTCTTCAGGCATTTTGTATTTTTTTTAATATAAAAAATATTTCTACAAATTGTTTGTTTATGTTATTGACATTTTATTTATATAAGATATTGTATCTTCCGTTTACACAGCCATACAAAGTCGTACAAAGTATTCATTATCGCTAAGCCATACATTTCTGTTTATTAAAATATTAAAACTTTTTATATATTTTTATTATACGAGCATTTTGTGTATTGTCGTCTCTTAGTGGCTTAACTTTTGCCTCTTCGTATGTCAGTAAATCTCTATGAAAATGCTTTAATATTTATTTTCTATCTGCAACTGTCAAATATTGACATTTTATTCTTATCCTTCGCACACACGGACACACACACACACACACCTACATAAGTATCCTTTCTGAGCCGCAGATGCGAACGTAATGGCGCTCCCACAAATACAAATAAAAGCACATATGTCAATATATATAGTCGGTCCTATTTGTCAATTTGTCATTGCTGCTTCAATTCAACAATATTTATTTTGTTTTCGGTTCATATTTTACTCGTCCTCGTCCTCATCCTCTCCCTCGTACTCGTAGTTGTACTCGTCCCTCTGCATTTCATTTCATTTTTGGTTTTGTGAATATTTCAGGTCAAGGATAAAAAGCCATGCATATTCTGCCTGCGTGTAAACGATATCCTCTTTTTCGTTTGGTTTCGTTTGGTTTCTTTTTGTTGTTTGTGCTCTGTGCATCATCCTGTTATTTTGTGTCTTTGGGCTTATGCCAAGCAGCCATTTTTCGAGCATTCGTTCTCATGTAGTTGAGTATGTGACATCCATGGAAGCGGGTAATGCGCTTAGAGTATCAACATATCAGCAGTTTATTGTTTGTCATGTTGCCTTGTCATATTTGCATGTGGCACACGTGGCACATGTTGCTCCTAACACAACATTGCAAATTGTGCCGCAATCAGGAAAATTGTAAATACATTAAATTTTGAATTTATGCCAGTTTAATACTTTTCTTGTTAGTTTTGCGTCAACAAGGATTTCGAATATTCAATCAATACTACAAAGGATTAACGGAGTGATGGTTGGGTAAGGATAAAAA